AGTGTTTCTCTCGGTAGTTGAGGGTGTACAAGAGTGTTCCTTCCGGCCGATGAGAGTGTACACTTTCATCAGCCAAGAGTGTTTCTCTCGGCCAATGAGGGTGTACACTCTCAGCGGCCGAGAGTGTTTCTCTTGGCTGATGAGAGTGTACACTCTCATCGGCCGAGAGTGTACACACTCATCAGCCGAGAGTGTACACTCTCAACGGCCGAGAGGTTTTCTCCCGGCCGTTGAGGGTGTACACTCTCATCAGCCAAGAGTGTTCCACCCGGCCAATGAGAGTGTACACTCTCATCAGCCGAGTGTTTCTCACGGCCAATGAGAGTGTACACTCTCAGCGGCCAAGAGTGTTTCTCTTGGCCGCTGAGGGTGTGCCATCAGCGGCCGGGAGGAATCCTCCCGGCCGTTGCGGGCTCTTTTTGGTAATCGACACCCAAAACCCAGTGGGTTTTGGGGCATCAACCCCCATCTCCTTCAGGGGGTGGCTTTTTTTTTATTAAAATCATTGTTTTTTCGACTCCCAAACCCGCTGACGGGTTTGGGGGATCGACTCCCATTCCTCGGGGATTTTGGTGGAAATTCCGGGGGTTTCGGGGTTTGGGAGTTGATCCTCACTTTTTGGGAGTCGATTAGCTAAGACCCTATTTTATATTGTATTGGTGTCCAGATAAAAAGTATCTTGAATAAATATATTATATCTGTTTTGAATATATTGTATTGGCCAATACAATAACATATTGGCACAGTATCACAGGTATTAAATTTATTGTGTGTTTACTTCACTTTTTTTTTTGCAAGTTGGGGCAGTTATATGTAAAGTTAGAAATAAAGTCTTGAGATTTGCGTAAGGTAATTTACATAGGGAGAGATGAGACAACTTTTTAGGATGGCTGCAAGCATGGTTTTAAATTCCGGTTGAGTCGAGATAGCAAGGTTTTCTTGATGAATGTGATGATGTTCTGGTACTCAGAGATCATCAAGCAAGCAGAGAATTTGTCACCTTCCATCTTCTTGGTGATAAAGTAGAACTCCTATTCAAAATGAATCACAAAAAAAAATATTTTTTAGTGGAAATAGAACAGGGAATTGCTGAGAAATTACAGACTAACTTACACTCAGAATTTGGTTTAATTGATTGACTACTTCCCATTCATCTTGACTTATCTTGGTGTCGTACAGTCATTATAGTAGTTCTTCCCCCCTTCTTGTTCCTGTTGATCCTTTTCATTTTCAATTAGTTTTTTGATGATTTGACAAGCTTGATATGCCCAATTACTAAGGATGATAATTGGGCCGGGTTTCCAACAGGCGGCCCAAACCCAACCGGGTTCGGGCCAATCTTTTGATAGAATTTTTACTTAGGCCCGGCCCAAGTTGACCCAAATAAATTTTGGGCACCCGTCAGGCCGGTGCAGTGGGGTGCCCTGCTGGGGGGTCCTAGCACTTGGTCAGGTCCAACTGGTGATAAGTCAGTATCAGACCTCTGGTTGTTGTTTTTCTTTCTGTCCAGTATTTTGGAGACCCCAAGCCCGTGGGCTGCGCGCGGGCAGCCCAGATCAGCCGTTAAAAATGCTATTGTTATTATTTTATTTAATTATTTAAATGTTTTCTTCATGAAATATTACAATACAATATAAGTGTACTGTGTTATAGTGATTCCACTTATTTAAATATTATATTTTATTATTTTAATTGTATGTGCATATGTAAGTAATAATATCTCTAATTTATAAGTAGATGCTATGTTCAGGCTGACATACGGCCACGGTGTTCTGGCAACATTTCTTGTGGGTAACATTGCCCTTGCATTTCCCAGATTTACCTGGAAATTTTGTTTTCCTGTTTGGTATGGTAGGAAAATTACAAATATGTTCAGTAAAGATCATGAAGCCATGTGGGGCAATGGTTTGTAAAAAAAATTTCAAGAGTTGTAAAGTTTTTTACAACTCTTGCAAAAAAATTTACAAACCATCATATAGCAGGAGAATTAAGGGAGAGATAATGATAAATGGGGCTTACCCCTCTTCAAGTTTCTGTTTACCACCTTTTCTGGTTGGGGGGGGGGGGGCAGCCCACTCGCAAGAAGGATTGTCACACACCAGGGCCCCCAGGCAGAAGTAACGGATGACCTTCCACATGTTATTGATCCTGCGCTTGTTGCTTGACAATGTTCTTGAGAAACCAACGGTCCCAAAGTTTGTCACCATATCCCCAGGTTTGCGCACGAAGACCGTCTTTCCGTTGGCGTAGATTGGATATCTTTGCTTGTCAAGGATACACCCGTGATCAATGTAGGTGTCAAAGTTATCCTCCAGATTCGGAAGGAACCACTCCTTTGCGTTCCCTTGCGGATCTCGGTCGGCATCCATGTCATCCGAATCCGCACCGGCGTTTCCTTCAGGATGGCCGTCTTTGGATCGGCTATCCTCATCTGGTTCCTGGTCTGATTGGTTGAAGAGGTCAACCTCCTCATTGCCAAACTCCTCCTTGTTGACCTCCTTGTCGACCTCTTCCTCGGGGAATCCAACCAATTTGTTCATCAAGACGAGTTTCTTCTTCTTGGTCGACGATTTATTTTTTTTAACGTTTTTGATTAGCGGTTGGGCAGCCTCAGACACTGTGGACTGCTGATATTCCTTCAACAAGTGGGTTTTCTTGTTTTTATTCTTCTGAGTAGACAGTTTCAACAATTTTGTATCAGTTTCTTCTTTTTTTTTTCTTTTTTTTCTTCAGTTTCTTCAGTTTTTTCTTTTTTATCAACATTTTCTTTGGTTTTTTTTCTTTTTTTCATTATTTTCTTCAGTTTTTTGTTTTTTTTTGTTTATTTTGTTTTTCTTCTTTTTTTTCTTTCACCTCTTTCGCCGTCACACATTACCCCCATAAAAATGTAATTTTACAAGACATATGTCTTGTAAAAAATAGTTTGTAAAATTCACTTACCCTGTAAGAAAATCAAAAGCCATCTGCAACAAAATTGGAGGACTTCCCGTTGGATCTGGGACCCTTGCAGAAGTCAATCTAGACCCAAAAAATCTTAATTCTCACAGCAGCGGTGGGCCGCTACGCTACGCTACGCTTTTGGCCCAAAAAGCGTAGCGTAGCGGCGCTTTTTTGCGCCAAAATTTGGTAGTGTTAGCGCTTTTGTAGCGCATTTTTCGCTTCGCTTCGCTGCGCTACAGCGCTTTTAGCGGAAAAAGCGGCTAAAAACCGCTAAAAACGGCTGTAGCGCAGCGTAGTGGGCCCTTTTTTGTGGCCCACCACGCGTAGCGTTAGCGGTGTCGTGGCGGAATTCTCGCTACGCTACGCTTAACGCTAACGGGAATTCCGCTGCGTTACGCTACACTAACCGCTACGGTTAGTGTAGCGGCCCAACGTTGCTCACAGAGAAATTTGAATTTCGCAGCTCTAAACCAACTCTGGGAGACCCGCAGATGTTGACGGGAACTCCTCCATTGTTCTTTTTTGTCAGCCACAGAGCACCTTTCACAATACTTGAAATGTACCTAGTAACTGCAAATAATAATGACTCATTGAATACAGAGAAAATATTATTTATTGTTGTTAAAATAATAAATAAA